CCCTGGAACTCCCCATATTCATCACTCTGATATAATTATGAGATGGTCTGTACAAAGTATGCTCCGTGAGGTATCATTTTAAAAAGTCTCGATCTGCTGAACATGAATACCCTGTTGGATTGTAGGGGCTACTATCGTGTGTGAGGGGATGAAGTGTACATGTTACTGAAATACGTTGTGAGATTGGGAATACCCACAACCAGCCTTTCAGGTAAAACAATGGAGTCGATTAATGGCTCATCAACACCCATCAAGAAAAGAATCCACTATCCTTGAGACTTCTCGGAGGAGTTGTGTAGGCCCGGGGGGAGAGGGGGGGACTAACCCATCTCGCAGCAAAGAAACTATAAAAGAGGGGAAGTGACATCATCACCTCGCCTCACTACCCCCACAATTCAACACCTGGAAACACATCTGGAGGACAAAGACTTTGAACTGGGGGAGGATGGTTCTGAGTCGGGAAAGAGTCCCAGCCAGTGTACTGGGGATCCGTGACCTGTTTGTACCATCTGTCAGAGTGAGACACTGCTTGATTGAAATCAGTGGTTTGAGCATTGGCCTGCTAAACCCAGGGTTGTGAGTTCAATCCTTGAGGGGGCCACTTAGGGGATCTGGGGCAAAAATCAGTACTTGGTCCTGCTGGTGAAGGCAGGGGACTGAACTCAATGACCTTTCAAGGTCCCTTCCAGTTCTAGGAGATGGGATATCTCCATTAATTTATTTATTGCAAATTTATTTTTATTTTTTGAGTAACCAACCTTGATCCCTACACTTGCGACTTATAATCACTTGCTGTAGTTAATAAACCTGTTTTATATTTGACCTAAAACAGTGGGTTTTGGTTGAAGTGCTTGGAAAATCTCAGCTCAGTTTACAAAGGTGAGTGCGTGTCCACTCACACTGAGGGAGGGGCAAACATAATGAACTTAAGAGGGGAATTCCCTGTGGGGAATCAGATATGCAATTCCCATGGCTACTGAGGCTAGTTCAACATTTTAATGGAAAGCCATGTAGTATAGTGTGATCTGAGCAGGGGTTGGACTAGGTGACCTCCTGAGGTCTCTTCCAACCCTGATCTTCTATGATTCTATGATTCAGCTACTGCTTGGAAGCTGAGGCATTAAATTATGGGGTGACCCACAGATTTTGCAACCCCCAAATGCTGCCCTTAATCTGACTGTGGCTGAGATCATGCATATCTCATGATCTGCAGAAAAAATTTCCCTCATAATTAGCTTCAGGAAAGTTTTCTTCCCACTGAGAAGGGCTGGAAATGGACTCTTTCTTGAAATATTATAGCTGAGATGGGCCTTGACCCTGAAAGGGCACCAAAAAGTGAGGATTTACCAAACGCCAATGCTGGACACCAGTGTTAACAGTTTCAGAGTGGTAGTCGTGTTAGTCTGTATCAGCAAAAACAATGAGGAGTCCTTGGGGCACCTTAGAGACTAACAAATTTATTTGGGCATAAGCTTTCGTGGGCTAAAACCCACTTCATCCGATGCATGGAGTGGAAAATACAGAGGCAGGTATAAATACAGAGCACATGAAAAGATGGGAGTTGCCTTACCGAGTTGGGGTGGGGGGGGTCAGTGCTAACGAGCCAATTCAATTAAGGTGGAAGTGGGCTATTCTCAACAGTTGACAAGAAGGGGTGAATACCAAGGGAAGAAAAATCACTTTTGTAGTGGTAATGAGGCCAATGTAATCAAAGTGGCCCATTTCAAACAGTTGACAAGAAGGTGTGAGTATCAATGGGGGAAATTAGTTTTGTTGCATCCGAAGAAGTGGGCAGTAGCCCACGAAAGCTTATGCTCTAATAAATTTGTTAGTCTCTAAGGTGCCACAAGTACTCCTGTTCTTTTTTTTTTTTGCCGATACAGATTAACACGGCTGCTACTCTGAAATTTGTTAACAGTGGTACTCTTGCATAAAAAATGCAAGTAACATTGCCAACCACAACTGGTCAGGACATTTGCTGTACGTCTCAACTAAACGTCTGCACCTTAACATGCTGGGATATTGACGCAGAGATGAGACGGTTATCTCAAATCAACACCACCACCCCCCACAGCACAGTTGTATATAGCAGCATGCCAAAGTGTGTCCCTCAATCCCTATCACCCACATACAAACCCACCCAAAGCCTAACAGGATGTCAACACAAGGTAAGCTGGCTACTCAGACAGACAGACAGAGATCACAGGCAATTCATAGCAAGTAGGTTAAATAAAGGTGTGCATGCTCACCGTATCCTTTATACACATTTTAATGAGCAAAAAAATACACGAGCCAGTATAGTACAAGACATTCAAGACATTAAGGAAAAATCTTAATATCTGTAGCACTATGTATATTCAGAGATGATTAGAGCTGGCTGGAACATTTTAGAATAAAACTTTTTTCATCCAAATATGCTGTTTAGTCAAAGCTGAAACATTTCACATAGTTGTACTGATTCTGAAGAAATGTTTGAGTGGAAGGTTTCTGAGGTCCAGGGTGGACTATCCGGTCAGAGAGCGGAATTGAAAATCTGACCTTTCTGAGCAGAAGAAAGACATTTTGACACAATTCTGTTTTGCAAAAATATTGGAAAGGTTTTGTTTTCATTCCAACGCAGAACAAAACCAAATTTCAAACCCTCAAAAGTTGTCTTGAGAGGGAATTGCCATTCTCCAGCCAGCTCTGGCAATGACCTATTCTGCTTTATTAATTCCTATAGATGTGGCATTTTGTCCCGATGCAATAGTGGTATTTGCCATAAACATTCCAAAGATGGCTTTTATCCCATCTTCTCCAAATGCAAGCATCCAATTGGCTTTGCAATGTCATGTGGTATAATACCGCTGCTTAAAGCTTTTTTAAAAATATTTTTTTTAAACATTCAGCTCAATAAAAAAAAAAAGATGTCTATTCTTAAAGGGTTACATTGGCAGAAAGAGACCCAGGTGCTCCAGAAGGATAAACAGCTCTGCACACTTCTACATTTTGTCTTAGCATTGGTAGAAACTGATGTGCACCTTCTCCTGGTGTTTCTGGAGCCTGTTGCTGGACCAGTGGAGAAAGGTGCTCCAGAGGCAATACCCAAAACAAGCCATTTATAATAATGAGCAATGGGAAGGGAGCAGCATTCAACTATAAACATGAAAGCCTTGATCTGATGGCTCAGGAACGCAGATGGATGATTTGCTCCTGCCATCATGTTCTCTGTTAAGCCCTAACAGCATGGTCAAAAATTCCCTGCGTTTACTCTAGTTGCGATACCCAGGTATGTTGCTCTTATGAAAAGATTCCAACTGATGCCCAGCTGCAATTGCACCTTTTGGCAGGGTTGCTGTGTGCCCGTCTGCCAGGGCTAGGCAGGTCCCAAAATGAGACTGCACTTGAAAACCTAATATTTGAAAAGGGGGCCTCTTCAACTTACCTGCGAAGCTCTGAGGTCAGGGGCCTGTCTTTCTTTTGCAGGAGTTTATGGGATGACTTGTATCTACCACAGCGCTTTCCTGTGCCTATCACCAGGCCCTATCCATCAGTAATGACATCAGTTCTTTCGGGGAAAATACCAGACCTTGAACTTGGGACTTGGCAGGTGAAGGTGAAGTTTTAAAATGTAAAGCCCTGAGGTTCAGAATTCCATGGACAAAAATGGCCCGTCGAACAGGGAGCAGGGAATGTGTGTGTGGGCACTACAGTAAATGCAGGTGCCAATCAGGCACCCGAATATGCACAGGCAGTTCTGAAAATCTGGGCCTACATTTGTCAATAATTTATAAAAATTGTGCTGTACATTCACTGCTGTGGATTGCTGAACGACCACCCTGGAGGTGGGGGCCTCTGTCTAGTGATGGGCCTGAGGCAGCGCAGGTACCAGCAGGAGAAGTACATACATCCTGGCCCACTGGGACCTGGACTGAAACCTACCAACCCATTTCCCAGGGCGTATTTATTCAGCGTCAGACAGCAACGATCTGTGCACCTCCAGCCTGGATGGGATTTGAACTGGGAACCTAGAGGTAAACGCTAATTGTAGAGTCTCAGTCTGGCCCAGTTCTATTTCTGATCTCAAACCCTTGGTCTCAAGAGCTTTTCAGCTCTTTACATCTCCAGTGAAAGGGGGAGGTGCTATCCTCGGCCTCATCACTCCCTTTATCAATCTGTGTTACTAAGCCTACCCATGTACAAAGGAAGACCAGCCAAAGGGTGACAGCAGAACCTAGCAAATGCCTTTCCTCTGAGTCCAAACTGAGCCTCCCTTTACCCCACGCCATTAAGTCATCTAAGGGAAATGTTATACCCACTTCTCCATCACTGGTAAACCAACAGCCACCATGGAGGTGGCAGCACTAACTAAGCCAGGGAAATATTTGCCATGTGGCAAATATGGAGCAGGGAGCCAGCATTGTATTAAGTCTCTGTCTGCGACAGCACAGACGCTGTGGTGTGGGCCAACTCTGTGCACCAAGGCAAAGTCATCAAGGCGACCAAAGCCAGTGACTTACAAGCACAGATAAGGGAATATTCCCTGCTCCCCAGGACAGACACTATCATTATCAGGGAGCAAGCGAGAAGTAATTCTTCCGCTCTACTCTGCGCTGATTAGGCCTCGGCTGGAGTATTGTGTCCAGTTCTGGGCACCACATTTCAGGAAGGATGTGGACAAATTGGAGAAAGTCCAGAGAAGAGCAACAAAAATGATTAAATGTGTAGAAAACATGACCTGTGAGGGAAGATTGAAAAAATTGGGCTTGTTTAGTCTGGAGAATTGACGACTGAGAGGGGACATGATAACAGTTTTCAAGTATATCAAAGGTTTTTACAAGGAGGATGGAGGTTAAATTGTTCTCCTTTAACCTCTGAGGACAGGACAAGGATGCAATGGGCTTAAATTTCAGCAAGGGTGGTTTAGGTTGGACATTAGGAAAAATTTCCTGTCAGGGTAGTTAAGTACTGGAGTAAATTGCCTAGGGAGGTGGTGGAATCTCCGTCATTGGAGATTTTTAAAGAGCAGGTTAGATAAACACCTGTCAGGGATGATCTAGATAATACTTAGTCCTGCCATGAGTGCAGGGGACTGGACTAGATGACCTCTCGAGGTCCCTTCCAGTCCTACAATTCTATGATTCTCCATTGGTCCAGGGGTTTCCAAGAGATGCTCAGGGGGGTTAGATGTTTGCATTATAGTTCTTGGCTGTAGAGGGTAGACAAGGTGCTTTGCTGCTGGAGGGAACCGTGCATGGAACCCCACCTTCGTCTCACCAGAGACTCACTGTGCGGCATTGGTGACAGGCACAAGGGAAAGAACATCTACAGGTCTTCAGCACCAGAAACACGAGAGAGGCGGGATAGGAAAGGCTGATCCTGTAGCATCTCGGAGCAATGTACAGCTAGGGGGAATGTCTACCATGCAAACGAGCAGGGGCACAACACCCCAACCCCCAACACTTCAGCATGTGGGGGCAACTGGGAACCACTGGTTTCAACAAAGTTGTTTCTTTGCTGGGACTGGGGAGGAACTCATATAAATCACTCTTGGGACACCTGCTCCGCCTTCAACCTCCTTCAGCAGAGACTGCGCCTGGGGCTCCTAATTGGGCTTGGTCTGGAGGGTTTCGTAGGTCTCCTGGTTCTGAGTGCTGAGCCCCTGTAAGGAAGCAGAGGAGACAGAAGTGGGGGTGGGGATTAGGATTTTGGTTCTGAATGGGACTCCTGAAACAATTCAAATGAACTAAGCCTGGGGCTAGGGGAGTGAAATCTCTGGGAGAGATGGAGCTGGTGGCTGAGCTCCAAATCTGACTCCAGAAGCAGGGTGCGGGGTTTTCTCCAGGTTAGACTAGAGCTGGAAAAGCCTGTCCAGGCCCCATGTCGTCCATCCCCTCCCTGCAGTGCAGGAGTGTTCCCTGCTTTATGTGCCCAGAGGTCAGCCTCATCTGACAGCCCTTCACTCTAGGTGGAACGTCAGCAGCTGTCTCGGCCGTTCCCTGCAGGTCTCAAGAGATGTTAATACACGGCTGAACCGGGTGCACAGAGCAGGGGCCGGTTTGTGACACTGTCCAGAAAAACCTTCTGCTCCTTATTCAATAGCCTAGAAGAACCTAGAAAAGGGCTCCCGGGTATAAGCAAAGCAGCGGAGTCTGAGCTGCACAGCCGATGTTTGCATTGCGGGACCCATCCAAAAATACCCCAAACACAGAGTTTTCATGCTGGTGAGAGGGACCAAATTGGCACCCCCAAGACTTGTGCCCTCCGGTCACCCACAAGGCAGCAGCCGTATCTCCCTCTGGCAATGGCCCTGCCCTACAGGGGCACTATCGGGAAGCTCTGTCTTTGTGCTGACCTCCAGCGAGGGGTCCAATTAGTGCTGACGGTGGTTTGGTGATGTGGATACCAGCCTAATAGGAAATGGACCGAAAACAGGCCTTGCAGTGGCTGTTACCACAGTCATCAGACGGAGATGACTTTCAGGCAGACACCAGTGATATTATTTAATAACATCGATTAATTCATTCAAAATACAGCTCTGCCATGTAGTCCCCAGATCACTTGCATCTTCTTGGCACCTTGGGAGCTGGTGAAAGGGACCAAGTCCCATGCAAATGATTGCACAAGGCAGCAAACGGGGTGGGGAAGTTTGGATACTTACGGTATAGATCCCTTCTTCTTTCTGCTGCACAAAGAGAAAGAGAGATAAGTCAGTAAGAACAAGAAGCAAAATACCAAAAACAGCCCCTTCCTCCCCCCACACTGTGTTGTGACACAAACTGGGGGGCCTGTCCGCACCATCACCAACTCTCAGCCCAAAGCTGGAACTCTTGGAAGCTTGAAAAATCCCCTTTCTTTTTCTTTCTTTCTTTCTATGCAGCTGCCTCTGCACTTTGTGGTTTTGGCCGGATGCAGAAGTGGAAATTCTGAACTATCCTGGGCCTACAGTTTTTTTTATTTCATCCCATTCCTTCCCCTTCTGCCCCTTTCCACCCCCACCCCCGACAGAATTCTCCTCCTGTCCTGTTTTTTTCAGCTGTTGTTTGTTCCCCTGCCCCCCACTAGCTACAGCAGACAGGTAGGGGAGGGATAGCTCAGTGGTTTGAGCATTGGCCTGCTAAACCCGGGGTTGTGCATTCAATCCTTGAGGGGGCCATTTAGGGATCTAGGGCAAAAAATCTGTCTGGAGATTGGTCCTGCTTTGAGCAGGGGGTTGGACTAGATGACCTCCTGAGATCCTTTCTAACCTAGTAAAAAGCAACAGAGGGTCCTGTGACACCTTTAAGACTAACAGATGTATTGGAGCATAAGCTTTTGTGGGTGAATGCCCACTTTGTCGGATACATCCAATACATCAGTTAGTTTTAAAGGTGCCACAGGACTCTGTTGCTTTTTACAGATCCAGACTAACACGGCTACCCCTCTGATACTTCTAACCCTGATATTCTATGATTGAGCTTACTCAGCCATTAATGCTTCCAGGCCCCACTCCTCTTTGCCAGGATCTCCATGATACCGAGGTGCTTACAATGCCATGTCGTATATTGTGGGGTTGCTTTTGCCACTGGCCGTGAAAGAGCGTATCGCCTCCTGGCCCCATGATACGATGTGTCTGCCCACACAGCTCAAGATCACACCGGCATTGCAAGCTCCTGTCTGCACTCCTCTGGCTGGCGCCCCAGAGCAGGGCAGCCCCCTTGCATTCTCTCACTCACTCTGTCTGAGCGCTGGGCGATTCTCTCCCAGCCCAGGAGGTCTGCTCTATTTTCCCTTTGGCCTCACAGCTGCTCCCCACTTAGTATCAATATGCATCACAGTGCTGTGCCCTTTGCCCTCTTCCTCTGGACCATTACGGTATTAAATGAGGCAATGCCCAGCACTGATCCTGCCATCTCCCCCAGCCCATTGCTGTTAATCATGTGTCTTTTTTAACCCCTTTCGCCAGTTTTCAGTCCATGGGACAGTGCCAGTTTACCTGGCCTTTTCAAGGAAGATTTTGACAGAGGATGTGTCAAACGCTGCACTGAAATCCAGCCTCTGCTGCATTCTCTTGACCCAGGACATTCAGAATTGCATGCAAAAGGCAATCAGCTTTGTCTGGCATGAAGTGTTTGCTATAAACCCTCCACGCTGCCCATTCCGGGAGGCCTCTCCTTTTCCTTTGGTATGGGGTGCGCACGGTACTCGGTGGTTTATTCCCACATAGCTAACAGGGTGTGAGTTACTGCTGTGTGTGCTCTGTACCAGCGCTGCCTGGCAGTGGCCTGTGCTATCTTCCTAGCTCAAACCGCCAGCACCAGCAGCTGAGCTCCTCTCAGCCACAGTCTCTCTGGCTTCCCCAGTCAGGCTGGGGCTCATTTTGCAGCCAGGGGCACCCAAGCCTCAGGATGTTTGGAATCACTTGGTGGCTTCTCCAAAAGCTTAGATTCTTCTCCGGGGGGATCAGAGTCCCAAATCTCCGGCCGGATTTCTCAGGAAACTTCCCAGGCTTCCAAAGAGAGGGAGACACCCTGAGCACAACCTGCCTCCCGACACGTCGGGGTGGCTGGTTCAAACCAGGGGCACGACCACGTCAACTGAACGTTGACAAACCACTTCCAGCCTGAGAATGGAGAATGCCCTAGGCAGGCGGGCACCGGACACCGTGAGCCGCATTCACCAGCCCAAGGGGATGGAAATGAGGGTTTGCAAAATGCTCAAGGGTTTCTACTCCAGGCTCTATTTCACCTTACTCAGGTGAGAGGAGGAGAGGCATCTCCCACCTAGCCCATGCACCCAGCCAGCACTGGACACTCTACAGCAATTTGTCCAGGGCTTTGCCCCCTCCAGCTTTGCTCCTGTCTTTTTATATGTGTGTGCGCGTAACTTTAACGCTGGTGAAAGGTACCACGGGGGGGCATAAGCCCACTGAGGACAAATAGTCCCACCCCCTCAAATGAGGGAGGGGCTACAGAGTCCAGAAGCCAAGTGGGACAACAAATTAAAAAACAAGAATGGGTGTGAAGGTGCAAAAGACGGGAACAGGCTAAACCTCAGCAGGACTAGAACAGAGCCGGGACTCTCCCCCGGGACACGGCACTGGTACGTCAGGCACAGACCTCAGAGGACTTTGCAAAGGTGGGTCAGCGCCATTATTCACACTCAGACACAGGGAAACTGACTTGCTTGCAGTCAAACTGCAAATTAGTAGCAGAGCCGGGACTAGGATCTGGGTCCCTTGAGTGCTTCCCGCTGCTCCACACGGCCTCCTTGCACTGCAGCGTAAGGCCCCAAACATCAGCACAGAACAAACTCATCCTCAATGTGCCCATACAAAATAACCCCCCTCCCGCATCAAAGCCCTTAGCCCCTGGCCCCACTCCTCCCAGTGGACCCCCAGAGGAGAGCTGTGCAGCACAACCAAAGCAGCACCGCAGAGCTGGGCTCTGTTGGACCGAGGGTCCATGAGACACCGACGAAAGCAACAGCTGCAGTGGATGATTTTAGCTGCCTGTCAACTCCGCCCACAAGGCCCTGGCAAAGGAGGAACCGACAGGAAGCAGAAAGGACGTACGCTATAGGCTGCGCTGGGGTCGGCTTTTGATGCTTTTCGAACCTGGAGCTGAAAAAGGAAATGAAAAGAATGAATTAAACAACAAATAGCCGCGAAACATTTTGGGGGCAGATTCTCAGCTGAAGAGTTGGGGCGGGGGGGACTTCTAATAGCCAGCATTATAGAGCAGCCCTGGGGCTGCACTAAACTGTAGCAGCTAAGTCTGGACCACATGCAATTATATCCCTCTGCACTGGGACCGGGATGGTCCCCGTCACTGCCGTAGCTGAGCACCTCCTAAGCCTGGCGGTGCTTTCCCTCACACAGCCCTGGGAGGCAGAGCACGGCTATCCCTCCCACCGTACAGGGGCTCTGGGACTTGCCTCAGGGCACACAGGATACGTCCACACCGCAGCAGGGAGCATGCGTCCCAGCTCAGACCGCCAGACACACACTAGCTCCACCCCAGCTAGTGTAGCCCGGCAGCTGGGGCTCGCCACCCTAGTACGTACCACCCAGCGGCTCCGGGTGGGTTTGTACTCAGGCAGGCACAGGCCCGAGCTGCTGCTGCGCTACCCCTGGCTACACGGCCGTTTCCACGCCTGTCGACCCACACTCCCGGCCCCGGCGTAGATGCACTTATGGCAGAGCCTGGAATTGGCTCCTGGTCTCCCCCCGAGAGCCTGAACTATTGGGTCACCCTTCTTTCTGGAAGGGAGGGGTGATGTACCCCTGTGCCAGCTGGGTATTGCTGGAGTGTCTCATACGCCACTCACCCCCCATGTCTGCCCCTCCCACCTCTTCTCCGCCCCCTGTGCTGACGGGAGGGAGGCGTCGGAGTCAGCGGTGCCGGCTGGGAGCTCCTCTGTAATAACCCCAGCAGAGAGGCCAAGGGGAGCAGAGCAGTGCTGAGAACTGGCCTTTCTCCGCTCTTTTTACTACGATTTCATTTTTTCCAAAGGGTAAATTGGCTGCTCCTAAAAACAAGAGCCCAGCAGCTCTGGCTGGAGCGAGACGGGCTGGGCCAGCTTCCCCCACAGCTCTGCCAGTGCACCTCAGTCTGGATCTGCCGCTCCCCCTGCAGCACTGCTCTGCTGAGGCTCCCCAAGTTTCGCCCGGGAGAGGCTCTTGTCCCCTGAACAATTACGAACCACTGAGGAGATGGAGCCTCCCAACCCCATGGTGTTTCTGGAGCGGAAGGGCTGGCACAGTAATCCTCCGCTCCCCGTCGGGGGTCACCTAAAGAGAGGCGAGAACGGCCAGGCCCCTGGAGACTCACCTTCAGGCGGCAGTAGAGCACTGTGAGGATGATGCCGTAGGTGAACAGGACGGCGTCCAGGACGTAGCACAGCTCGGGTTCGGCCAGCGCCTCTGCAGGGAAGAGAGGTGGCGTTAGCGTCCTGGTGAGGGGGAGAGGCAATGCAGCTTCCTGCTGCTGCGCGGGGGGGGTTGCACCACCATCGTCCCGCCAAGCCCAGCAGGACGTAGAACGAGTCACCGCAATCCTGGCCTTTGCAGGAGAGCGGAGCAGCCGCCCAACTCCAGGATTTGCAGGCTGGAGCGTCGGTGTAGGACCAGGCTCTCGCGCCGCCCACATCAGGATGAGAGGGCAGCTTGCTTTCAAGGCAGGAAACCTGGGACCTCTGCTGAGGCTTCCTGCTGGGTCAGGGACTGAGCCGTCACATCCAAGCAGGATTTTTCTGTACCTCAGCCCCACCAGAAACGCAGACCCTTGAGGTGGGAAAGGCCTCTCCCAGCAGCTAGCCGCTTCTGCCGCCCACCCTGGCCACTGGAGCCCACTCATTTGGCCAGCCCAGTTTTGACTGTCCCAAGTGATGGGGCTTCCACCACTTCCCTGGGGAGGCTCTCCTCCCCCGTGTGATACACTCTTCGCAAGGTTTTCCCCTGACATTCACCCTGCATTGCTCAGGGCTGAATTTCCTCATGCTTCCCCCTCAGTCACGCTTCGGAGCTCCTCCCCTCCGCAAACACCTGCAGACAAGTATCTGTCCCGCCCTCCCAGCCCCGCCCCGAGGCATCCCTGAGCGAAGCTAGACATAGTCAACTCCTTCACTCGCCCTCCAGCCCCCGAATAACTGTCACTTTTCTCTGAATTCCCTCCAGTTTGGCTGCATCTTCCTGGCACTGAGGTGCCCACACCACATTCTACATGTGATCACACCAGAACTAGATAGATAGATAGATAGATAGATAGATAGATAGATAGATAGATAGATAGATAGATAGATAGATAGAGGAGGTGTGTGGGGAGAGAGAGAGAGAGAGAGAGAGAGAGAGAGAGGGAGAGAGAGAGAGGGGGT